GAAATATGAAATGAGGTGAACGTTTCGGCTTTGTTAAAGCTTTGTTAAAGGCTTTAACAAAGCCGAAACGTTCACCTCATTTCATATTTCTCTGTGGATTTTCCGCATATATATATATATATATATATATATATATATATATATATATATATATATATATATATATATATACATATATATATATATATATATGACAATGTCAGACCACGTCTGACATTTATATATATATATATATATATATATATATATATATATATATATATATATATATATATATATATATATATATATATATATATATATATATATATATATATATATATATATATATATATATATAATGATAATAGGATAAGTTACCAATATTTACTGTATGAAGCATAATGGGTGTGGAGTCCTTCCACGTCTTCACATATGCGCTGGCGTGTGTTCGCTTCTGTTCTCGTCTGCCAAGATAATAAAATGCCCAATAGAAATTGAGAAAAAGCTAAAATTGTGAATAATAAGATGGCACATGAGTGTATTATGTCATAATAATACAGAAGTATTTTTCAGATATGCGAGGCGATTTATCCTTAAACAATTGAATGACTGAAATAAGTTTGTCTTAACTATCATACTGCAAAATCATATCAAGATATCTACACTACAATCATTGTAAGTAGATGCCCGAAACGCTGTGCGTATTAGTGGCTTTGGGCATAGTATGTACTAGCTTTATCTATTAGTCCAACATTCTGCTTGTAACTTTTTTAATGTATTTACTTTTACCTGAATAAACATTATTGGTATTATATAGATATTAAATGTGGGCTGACGTGCTTAGCGCACGGCTTATACCGTTGTATATCTTATTATCATCTATCAGCGAGGGGTTTGTCTCTTATTACAGAACGAATAGACTCAAGATGGTGCAAACAACACAACTGCAATAATCCATTGGATTATTTGCAATGTTTGCAACTAGACCGTAGTTGCACACTTCATTGATTTTTTGCCGCCAGAGGTGGATAGTTCATTAAGCTTCCCCAATTCAACCAGCGAGTAGTAGTTTATTGTGCACCCCCGAAGCCCGGTTGTGTAACCGAAGCCCGACCAGTTGTGAAAACGCAAGCCTAGCATTTACGAACCAATAAACCTCTGAAGCACAACCATGCATGAACCGAAGCCCGATTATGCACAACCCGTAGCCCAAGTGACACCCCCGGAGCCCGACCAGTTATGTAACCGGAGCCCGACCAGTTATGTAACCGGAGCCCAACCAGTTATTTAACCTAAGCCCCACCAGTTGTGTAACTGGACCCTGGCCAGTTGTGTAACAAACCCCACCAGTTGTGTAACTACAAGCCTAGCAAGTACACATCTCATCCAACCCCCACCAACCATGGAGGCCTAGCAAACAAACCTGCAGCACTAGTACACAAACAGCACTTGGAGCACACCCATGCACAACCTGGAGCCCGACAATGCACAACCCAAAGCCCAACAAATCTCACCCCCGGAGTTATGTAACCGGAGCTCGAACCAGCTGTATAACCAGACCCCGACTAGTTGTGTAACCGCAAGCCTGGCACGAACGAACCAAACAAACAATTCAAAACAAACATCAAGCAAACATCATCTGATGCACAACCATACATGAACCGAAGCCCGACCATGCACAACCCGTAGCCCAAGTGACACCCCCGGAGCCCGACCAGTTATTTAACCGGAGCCCGACCAGTTATTTAACCGGAGCCCGACCAGTTATTTAACCGGAGCCCGACCAGTTATTTAACCGGAGCCCGACCAGTTATTTAACCGGAGCCCGACCAGTTATTTAACCGGAGCCCGACCAGTTATTTAACCGAAGCCTGACCAGTTGTGTAACCGGACCCTGACCAGTTGTGAAACTGCAAGCCTAGCATTTAAGAACCAAACAACCTCTTAAGAACAACCATGCATGAACCGAAGCCCGACCATGCACAACCCATGGCCCAAGTGACACCCCCGGAGCCCGACCATGCACAACCCATGGCCCAATTAAGTGACACCCCCTAGCCCGACCAGTTATTTAACCGGAACCCGACCAGTTATTTAACCGGAACCCGACCAGTTATTTAACCGGACCCTGACCAGTTGTGTAACTGAAAGCCTAGCAAGTATACATCTCATCCAACCCCCCAACCCCCCCACCAAGCTAAACAGCCTCAGGGCCCAATCAAAATCCATTCCTAGCTTGACCAAACAAAAGTCTCCTTAGCCCTACCTAAAATCTTCCACTTGCCCTAGAAACCAACTATGGAGTCATAGCAAACAAAAAATTGAGCTACGTATGAAAAAAGAAATCTGGTTTTCTAGCAAACATAAGTATTGAACCCTAGCAAACCAAGTCAGAATTCGGCTCAAAAATCACGCTCAGGAGTCAAATTTCCGACATTTCAGATATTTTGAAAACTGCGGGGGGGTTGGGGCAAAATATGACCCATCGCCGTTTTCAGTAATTTGCCTATTTTCGGTA